GGCCTTTGACCACTCTGGAAAATTTGTACAAACCTGATGACCAAAACTCTTCGGCCTTACCACATATAGCTGTCTACAGTTCTGAGGATTAGCAGTTGCTCTGGCATATTAGAGAGTATGGCATGGAACAATAAATGGATTCGAACTTTAGGGTAAAAAGGATAACCTTGCATACAGATTCTCCTCAGCAGTAGTCAAAAACAGCAATTCAAAATGCTCACCTTGGCCACATAGGCTTCAACTCTGTTTCTTGGTGATAATGTGTTTTCTGTTGGGCTTAGGAAGTTTCCTCCAAGACTGAGACTTCTGTTCAGTCCCAAACTGTTCCCAAGATATCCCAGGCCAGTTGAATGCAGAAGTGGACTTGCAGCCAGATGTCCGCTGACAATGCTGCTTGTGATTAAAGATTTGCTTCTATGGCGCTCCCGAAGAAGCTTGGTGTTGGCCTCTGAAAGTCTCTCATTAGCTCTGAAACATTAAGAAGCACACAGAGAGTCATCTTTGGTAGTAAGGCTTTTGCAAAGTTACCCTCCACATCCTTGACTACTACTTGACTTCTAAAAGCCAAGGGCATTAAGAGTGTCCAAAACAAGCACATCCTTTGATCTGAGCTTGTTCAGAGGGCCTGTTTCAAAGAAATCACACTAAGTGCAAGGAGCAGCAAGTGTCACCTCCATAAGAACACTGGCCTACCCTGGCCTTCTCAAGGAAAGTTCAAACCTCAGACCCACTGCTACAACAGAAGCCAAGAAAGAGCGTTCTTATTTTTGATTCACAGAATCCAACTCTCTTCTCCGAGAGGCCTCTCCTTATTCAAACAGTAAAGGGCACAAGATTCATCTTTTCTGTCACATACAGGATGAGGAGATTACAGATTGGCAAAAAAACTGCCTGCTAGAACAACATCAACTTGAAAAAGACACCAATAATGCCATAATGGCGCTACTGTGGTGTTACTGCTGGAACTCTAAAGAGAAAGGAAGACAGGTCTGATGAAGGGAAGGGTCTTAAGGAACTTTCCCCACAATTTTGCCATGTTCTGCTTTCACACATCATGCTGGCGAGATGTAGAAAAGGGATTTTAGAAGGAAAATGCACGAGGAAAAAGGAGTCTGTTATTACCAGTCCAGAAAAGCATGGACTTACCTTTCCAGTTTCTTGGCTAGGCCTTTTCTGGTTTTCACTTCCTCCAGATACAGCTCTTTGTACTTTTCCACTTCTGCCTGGGTGGATTCTTTTTGAAAAGTACTGTCTTGTTGGGTATTTTTTATCCTGTCCAGTTCACATTCAAGATCTCTAATTCTGTCTTTTAGCTGGTTTCTTAGTGAAGCATGATGACTGGCTCTGATTTGTTCTAATCTGTCCTGGGAGGCTGCCTGTGCCTGAAGGAGACAGTGCACCTTCAATCACCACAAGAAAAAGTGAACTCTCTCCAGCAGAGAATTGCATGTACCCAATTTCAAGGCTTTACTAAGAGAGGCAGCTGTGCCTCCTCACTACCAGCAGCAATGAAAGCAGAACCCTGGAGCTACTATTATACAAAGCTACTAATGAAAGGACACTCTCTCTGTAGGACAGGGCATATGGAAAAGGATTCCTCAAAAACAGTAGGAGGATCTCCCACCTCCACAACTTCAGTGACTCCTTTTCTGAGCACTTTTTCCCCCTACAAGGACAAAGCAGCACCTGTAGGTCTGGTCATGACAGCTGGCAGTTGCAAAACCCATTGAAGGATGAGCAACGAGAACCAGGTCAGTGGACAGAGATACCCCCAAGCACTGCAAAGTGGGAATCTGCCTTGGGCAGGCTTTTGATTCAGGGACCTGCTGGCACATTACACACCCATGACAGCCCTCCTGCCCAACCATATTGCCTTCTCCCACTGCCTTCAGGAAAGGCAGAAGTACAGCGCTAACACACAGAAAAAGGCACAAAAAGTAAACCACTAATAACTGATGACCATAAAAACAGTCTACATAGCGCCTATGGACGCTTGTGAGAAATTTACTTACTTGCAAAAACAGATTGACTTCTTGTAGTTTTTGTCTTATTTCTTGTCCAGCTCGTTCTTCCACCTCCCTTTTATATTGTTCTATTTGGCTGCGATCTACCAGGTTAGTTTCCGAATGATGTTGGAGTTTTGCCAGCTCTTCTTTCAGATGGCATTTGCTCTTCTCCAGGTTTTCACACTTCCCATGCAGGGTGGATAGCTCTTCTTGCAAATCCTGATTTTTGGCTTCCAGCTGCATGCATTTTTTAGATTCCCTGTCCAGCTGCTGGGAAAGTTCACCAACCTGTACACAGAAGAAGAAAAAAAAAAAGAAACTTAAGAGTGATCTAAAGGCAGTGAATTCTATGAAAATCTCTAACGGAGGTGGCCATTTGGACTGCTGGCTCAATACTAGAAACTAAGTGCAACCAGGCTCTTCTTTTCCAACCAGAACAGTTTTTACATCATTTGTCACAGGATTCCTCAGGTTCCCATCCTTTCTCAGCTCTTCTGGACTCAAAAGGAATCACTGCAAAGGCAGTAAGTGATTTGACAGTGATGCCTTCCAAACCCAAGTGTAGCTCTGAAAGGTGGCCACTTTAGCAACGAATCTGAGTAAGGAGC